AATGGTCTTACAAGGTTTGTATACAAAATGGAGTTAAGGCCATTTCAATTGTTCGTCTTGAAGTTCTTGCTACGTAATCTTCGTAAATACTTCGCATATTCCAGCACTTATACAGAAGCGAATACGCACGGATGAGGATTGATCTGTCCTCGACATCGATATTTGAAACGAAGAAGTAAAGCTGTTTTCCGAAGTTTTCGGAATGAAGGAATGAATATCGATGGTACAAGAAGTGGTGGTCTAACGTTGTCTGCTACAAAATTAATTATTCCCGCTTTCGTAGCAAATCCTCATATGGAGTTTTTTTTGTTGATGCTTATGCCAGTTTACTTATCCAAGTAGCAGTGATGAGTAGTGTTTTCATTTGCCGGCCATTTTCCATTACCCTGGAAACGGTAAACAGCTCTTTCCGGAAATTCCCTTCTAGCTTCTAGCCTTTTTCCATATTGCACTGTTAAAAAGTTCTATCGCTATTCTTATTAGAATTTTTCAGGTACAACTTTGCAGAAGATCGTTTTTCAGCCCAGCATCAAACTAAATATTTATGAATTGATTAAGAAATTGATAATCTTATAGCATGATTAAGCAGCTGTATTGTAGGCAACACTGTTTTCTGCAGTGTGACATAGTAGCCATGATTTTTGTGACCTATTTAACGCCCCAGAAATAACAATGTTGCCTGCTGAACAGTTGATTGAGCATAAAAATAAGACATCAGTGACTGGAATCATCAATAATTATGTTCCTTACATTTACTCGAAAAGTGGTCTTCAAAAAGTTGTAGATGACAAAATTTTCAACAAGCAGCTATCATTTTCTTAAGCAGAGTGAACTGGTGAATTTTGAGATACATATGAACCAAAATTTTAGTTTTCCCATAGTAATTTCTATATAAACTTCAAATGGTTTGTGCCAAGTCAGTTTCTTACTAAATAAGTTCAAATTTTAGGAGGCTAATCAGGATTCAATTTGGAACCGTTTGAGCACTGTGGAGCGAAAACTTCAAATTTAACATCAGTCTAATAAAGGGTGATACGGTCAAAATTTGGTCAAGGGAAAACGCGGTGAAATCGTTTATTTAAAAAATCAAATTAAATTTCTTTTTCAAGTTCAATTAGTATAAAATTCAGGAAAAATATTCAGTTAGGCTTCCGCTTTTCCAAATCCGAATTGCCGGGCCTTACGCTTGACCCCTGCCATCAGATTTTGTACAGCCACCTTGTCCACCTTCTTCGCCGCAGAAAGCCAGTTTGCCTTGAACGGCTGCTCGCTCTTAGCAGTTTTTTTGGTCTTCTTTAGGTTCCGCTTGACAATAGCCCAGTATTTCTCAATTGGGCGGAGCTCTGGCGTGTTGGGAGGGTTCTTGTCCTTGGGAACCACCTGCACGTTGTTGGCGGCGTACCACTCCATGGCCTTTTTACCGTAATGGCAAGATGCCAAATCCGGCCAAAACAGTACGGAACAACCGTGTTTCTTCAGGAAAGGCAGCAGACGTTTATTCAAACAATCTTTAACGTAAATTTATTGGTTGACAGTCCCGGAAGCTATGAAAAGCTGCTTTTCAAGCCACAGGTACAGATGGCTTGCCAAACCAGATATTTCTTTGCGAACTTTGACAGTTTCATGTGCTTGAAAACATCTGCTACCTTTCCCCTTCCTTTTGCCGTATAAAACTCCTGTCCCGGAAGCTGCTTGTAGTCGGCTTTGACGTAGGTTTCGTCGTCCATTACCACGCAGTCAAACTTCGTCAGCATCGTCGTGTACAGCCTCCGGGATCGCGCTTTGGCCGTCGTATTTTGTTTATCATCGCGATTTGGAGTCACTACCTTCTTGTAAGTCGATAGTCCGGCTCGTTTTTTTAGTTCGATGCACGGTTGTAGACGATACACCCAGCTTATTTGCGGCATCTCGGAGAGAGAGGTTAGGGTTTCGCTTGAAACTACCGGCAACTCTCTTTGTCGTCTCAGCGGCTTCCGGTTTCGATTTCCCCCCGATCCAGACTTCCTGGCTGTCGACAAACGTTCCCCAAACACTTTAATTACATTTGTAACGGTTGATTTGGCAACTTTTAGCGATTTTGCCAACTTTGCGTGCGAGTAGCTCGGATTTTCGCGATGCGCGAGCAAAATTTTGATACGCTGCTCTTCTTGCTTGGACGGCATTTTGACAACTGAAGAGTGAATTCCAAAATCAAAATAGGAGCAACATTCTACACACACACCTTCAAAATGAGGGGTGTTCAGGTTTTTTAAATGCAAAATTGAAAGAAATACGTCAAGTTGATATTGACCAAATTTTGACCGTATCACCCTTTATACACTCCTGATCATAAGTTTGGGGTCACCCCCAAAATCAAACATGCATATGTGTTATGTGCATTTCTCTGTCATTTTACGTCGAATTTTCGTTCTCTTTAAGTCATTTGAAATTAATTTTCTTCACAGGTAAATGACTCAATATAATTTTCAAATGTTGTATAATAAAAATTTATCCAAAGATACAACTTTTTTAAAAAACTTCTTTGAATTATCATGACTGATTTTCTCATAATAGGGTTGGCCAAATTTTGAAATGCCCGTAGTGGTAGAACCCTTATTTTATTTATAATTTAAAAATTAATGGAATATTTTTTTTAGTCTGGTGTTGTAAGTTAAAGTGTATGTTTACTTTAGAAATAAAATATATTACGCCACTTACCTTACACCTAAAATTGGACGGAAAATAACAAAGACATAGCATAGCATAGCATATGCGATTGTACAAATCGTGGGTGGCTATATAATGGTCAACTAATACGTTTTGCAGAAAATATCGAGTGTTGACGCAGAAAATATCACTTGGGATTAGTGATTTTCCCCACACGAAAGTAAAATCTACAATACAAGCATCGCATTATACACCTGGCCACATCCTTACAATCGCAGGGGAAGGGAGGGAAAGTTAATCCAACATCTACTTAAGAAGGTGCAGGGAACCCATACTACCTTCATAGGTGTCACAGGAAGGAAAGAGTTGTGTTAGTGGGAGGGTGAATGATTTGGCAACTCTATTCGTCAATATAGAGCATTTGATAAATCAGTGACAAAAAATAAAATTTAAATAGATAAAATGGAAAGATCTCACCCGATTGGCCTAGAGACTTTGCAGCGTCATGTTTTCAGAAATGCTTTATTTAATTTTCCTTGAACCACCGCAATCACTGATAACGCTCTTCTAGCTCGTACGTACAAAAGAACGCACTCCACGCAAAATGGACGGAAAATAACAAAGACATGATCAAAAATCATTTTCAGTTTTTGTTTTGAGGATGCCCCCAATATTTTGAACGATGCATAAAACATACTGTGGTGCCACCCAAAATTTTGATCGATGACTTGAATACACATTTTCATTCGGCAAATATTTTCTGAATTTTTCTTCCGTTTTTTTTTTCAACTGGAGCCCGTTGGGTATTAAATAAGGGTTTTATTACCACTTTCAAGTCAAGATTTGGCCTACCCAATACTGAAAAAAAAAGTGTCATAATTATTCAGTGTAAATTTTGAAAAATGTTGTATCTTCAGGTGAACGTTATGAACAAAGTAAGTATCATTCAATACCTTTAAAATAAGGAGAACAAAAATTGGATGTTAATTGACCGATGTGTGAACAAAACACATTTGCATGTTTTTTTTTGGGGTGACTCAAACTTGTGATTGGGAGTGTGGGAAAGAGTTTAACCGCTTAATTTTAATATTTTTACTTCCACGGAAAAGCAGCGCCGGTGGTGTACTGATGTCCTGAGGCAAAAAATCTCTGATCACGCCTTCCTTCGGAAGGGAAGTAAAGCCGTTGGTCCCCGGTTCATGAGTTGATGGGTCGATAGGTAGGGTTCAGTTGTGGAAACTGCCTTCCTGGCGTCGGTAGCATTGGTGCTCAGCACGGAAAACAAGATTGACGGAAAACAAATCAAAGGAAAAAAAAACTTCCACCGGAAAATGTTCCCATGCAGGCAAAAATTTTTATTCTTACTTCTTCTGGATTTTTTCACTTAGATTAGGGCTTTTGATCTAATGTCCGTCCTACTAAGCACAACCCGCGCTTTATCTCTCTTTTCTGAACGAGTTTTAACAAAAAAATTAATATTTCTGTCAAAGATGACTTCTAAATTTATTCACCTTTCCATACGTTTCGTTAGATTTGATAATGAGTCACAAATTGTTGAGATATTGTTTAAAAACTAATACTGCTTCTTGATTCTAAATTCGTTCTAAGAGTTTTAATTCCGTCCAAACGCATTGAAACGCCATTAGATTTTCTTCGTCCTACGGATAAACGTGGAAAAAGGGGATACGCTAGGGGCGCTTCTTTTGTTTTGAGAACAATGAGCGTAAATATTCATACAAAGTGCTCTAACAGGATTTATGTTGAAGCTAATGAACTAACGCATCGGAACAAACCTATAATTGATTTGTGCACGGTGAAATCATTGATATTATTAATCTTTTCTGGTCGATAGAACGGAAATGGGCGATTACGACGAAGTAGTGCTCTACCCTATGTCTTACGAGAAGGTACTGGGGTAAATCTTAAATCTAAAATTGGGACCGGCACGAAAAGGTGTTAGGTTTTGAATGCTTATTACTTTGTCAATTATAGATGAAATTAAAATTGAAATACACCAATCGATACTAAATAACTCTACAAATCTGGTAAATTAAATACTTTTCCAATTTTCCCCGGTTCATGAGTTGATGGGTCGATAGATAGGGTTCAGGTGTGGGAGCTGCCTCCCTGGCGTCGGTTGCATTGGTCCTCAGTACGGAAAACAATATCGACAGGAAGCAAATCAGAAAAAAACAGTATTTTGATATGTAGATTTTAGAAAATAAAAAATGATCTGCTTTCTGTACCAAATTTCTAACGAGCAATTAAATTTAATTTAGTTTAATAAAATATACGCCATATTGCCAACCATTTGGTTTTTCATTTTCTACAATCCATTCGTTTCTCTTCCACAGAAAATTGAAACGTCTCAATCTCGGTGGAAATGATCTAACTTCAGTGCCGCAAAAAGCTCTCTCCAAGCTGGACATGCTGCGAAAGTTGGAACTTCAAGAGAACCGGCTGAAAACCATCAAGGAAGGTGACTTTGAAGGTAATGGGCTAATAAAGTATCGCTCTCTTCCTCTGCCGATCTGCTAAACCTCAACCATCGTTCTAAATGTTAATGTTTCATTTATTTCCCCCACGGGGTTATCCTCTACAGGGCTTCAAAATCTGGATGCCCTTATCCTGGCCCACAATCAGCTCACCGAGGTACCGGCACGCGTCTTCAGTCATCTGATCCTGCTGAATTCCCTGGAACTGGAGGGTAATTCGATTTCCTACATCGATAAGGACGCCTTCGAGGGACTGGAAGGTGAGGAATGCGGCTCCTCGTCTTGCCGGCAGCTTTTATTCGTCCCACTTTTTTTTTCATCCACAGAAAATCTCCAGTACCTTCGTCTCGGTGATAACAATCTGCACCGCATTCCGAGTGATGCACTCCGACCATTGCACCGTTTGCGGCATCTGGACCTACGCTCTAACAACATCTCCTCCATCAACGAGGATGCTTTCGTTGGGTTCGGCGATTCGATTACGTTCCTGAATCTACAGAAGAACGAGTAAGTTTTCCTTTATCTTGTCCGTGTGGGTTGTTTACTCTCCCCAGATCAAGATCTTCCGCGGTGGATGATACTGGAAAAATATTTACTTCGTTCCGTTGCGAATGCCGCAATTTGCTAATGGTAAACCCCTTTCCGTTTTGAAATTCGAAAGAGGAAAGGGATTGCTTGGGGTGGGGGTTGAAAAACAGCTTAATTAAAGAGAAAAGTTTCCATTTACACTTCTTATTTTTCTTTAACTTTATGTTCATTTTTTCCATCACTAGCATCAAAGTGCTACCGGCATTGGTTTTTGAGAATCTCAACTCGCTGGAGACGCTGAGCATCCAAAACAACAAGCTAACTCGCATACCGGAGGAAGTGATGGAACCAATCATGGACTCGCTGCGTGTGGTCGATATTATGGGTGAGTAGAAAAGGTTGTATTTTGTGTGTGTGTGTGTGTGGGTGGTATTTCGAAACCACCCTTTTATGGGACTGAGCAATGTAAATTTGAAAGGATTTTCCGGGTGTTATGCATGGATGACAGGTAGGGATCAACCCGTCACTGTCATTCCGTATCAGCGCAGTGGCAGTATTCCAAATTTAACTGGATTTTTCCAGATTTTCAGTCCTCTTCTCAGATACACAGGCAGAGCACGCTTATTTACATTTACATTTATTAATTTTCTTTAGTATTGATTTATACTCTTCTTAGAAAAAAAAGAGAAATTTAATAATCAAATCATTTTAAATGTCTGTATGGTGCTCACACCTCTCAAACCTATGAGTTTTGGTAGTATGAGAAAGATTTTTGGAATAATAGTTAGAAATTCGGTTTTAACTTAATTTACTCAATAAACGTTGAAATATCTTCTCGAATGGTAAGAATTATTTTATATGTAAAAGACGTTGCCTATAGCGGCTAACAAAAGTTTGTAAAGCCTTTCTGAATCCATTTTCTGACCATTTTCTTTTAAAAAATGAGTACATTTCTTTGTAAGAAGCTTTTAAGCGATTTTTTTTTTAGAAGTGGTGACCGATTAAGTTAAATATTGAGAACATTAAATAAACAAAAAATATTTAAACAAATCAATATTGCTTGAACTTGTGAAGGATTTCGTAAGGAGCTTCTCATTTTTTTAAATACCAAATTGTGTTAACATTTATTAATACTATCGTTTTGAAATTAAGTGCTTTCTGTTAAAAGATGTGCATCAATTTTAAAAGCAGACTTATTAGAGAATATATTTGAAAATATCATATATGGACTTCAACGTTTTGAGCATGGACTCGTTCTGTCTGCTCAGCATTGGCAAATAGAAAAGGTAAATCAGCTGACTCAGATGACGTTGGATACCCTCTCCTCCGACGCCTCCTACCTTGAGGCAAACAGCTCCTCCTGGATATCTACAACAAAATATGGACTGAGAGAATATTCCCGACGCAATGGAGACACAGCCTGGTCGTTCCCATTCCGAAAAAGAACACACCCTCCACAGACCTACAAGGATATCGGCCAATATCGCTAACTAACTGCATCTGCAAGGTAATGGAGAGAATGGTGAACCGACGCCTGACTGAATATCTCCGTACAAACAATCTCCTAGACGACCGGCAGCACGCCTTTCGTCAGGGTTTTGGCACCAACATTTATTTCGCCACACTCGGACAGGTAATCAACGATGCTCTGGAGAACAACAAACACGTAGACTTGGCTGCGTTGGACCCCTCCAAAGCATACAATCGAACCTGGACACCGGAAATCTTGGCTCAGCTAGTGAAATTGAACGACTCTGGTAACATTTTCTTCTTCGTCCAGAACTTCCTTAGCAACAGAACCTTTCAAGTGAGCGTCGGAAACACAAGATCAGGGCCGTTTAGAGAGGAAACTGGGGTCCCTCAGGGCTCCGTTCTGGCCGTCACTCTTTTCCTGATAGCCATGAATGGGGTTTTCGGGCTCTTACGCCCGTCTATAATCCGCCGGAAGCTTCAAGAGGAGGTAAATGCGGTGGACCGGTGGGCAAAATCGGTTGGCTTCGAGATATCGTCCAGCAAAAGCCAATTTTCGGAGGTTACCACGCAGGAAAGAAGCCTGTGAAAATCAACAGTATCCCAATACCTTACCACACCACAGTTCAAGTTCTTGGAGTTCATCTCGACCGGCGATTGAATTTCAACAAACACTGCGTCATTACTAAAAAAGAGTGCGAATCCAGAATCTCTCTTAAATCCTTCACCAGTCGGCATCTAGAAACAGCTCTCAGGGTGGCAAAGGCCATAATAAACAGTAAATTGTTATACGGTGCCGAAATTATCTGTCGAGCGGCTGACACGACAATCGACAAGCTGAGCGCCACTTACAACCGCAGCATTCGAACGGTCTCAGGGCTCCTTCCATGCACCCCAGCGCCCACGGCCTGCATTGAGGCTGGCGATCTACCTTTCAAACACATCTTCATCGTGGCGTTCTGTTCCAGAGCCCTGATTTTTTTTGGAGAGAACAGATCTTAAGGAAGTGATCAGGGAGTGTTCCTACTTGATGAGGCTAATAAATTGCTGCGCTCCCAGACCCAGCAGGAACTCCCCAATGTATCAACAATTCATTATATTGGGGACGAAGGATGGGACGCCGCCCCTCCACGTATTATATGGAAACTAAAGTACACCCGGAAGAAAGATCCTGGTTCAATCTCGGTTGACACAACGTTTCAATGAGCTAGTATCTACAAAACTCAGAAGCTACCAGTGGTCTTCACGAACGGCTCAAAGACTAGCGGTAAGGTGGGGATCGGTGGGAAAGGCTTCCAGATATAACTTCCATCTTCTCTGCCAAAGTGGCAGCGATCTTTTTGGCCATCACGGAAGTAGATTCTACACTGAAAGCCATCATCACTGATTCTGCCAGCGTGCTTAAGGCTTTGGAAGCGCAAAGGATTCGTCATCCGTGGGTTCAGGAAATCCGCAACGTAGCAAAGCAAAATACAATGTTCGTCTTGGTACCAAGCCACAGCGGTATCCCCGGAAACGAACGGGCCGACAGTCTAGCGGCAATTGGAAGGGACTCGCTGTTTCTTACAGACGAGATACCACCACCAGACATTAAAAGCTGAGTCAACGGAGCAGTAAGGAACGCGTGGTGGATTGAATGGAACCAAGAAACACGGGCTTTCAAAACAGGCAAATGGGTCGATGTCAAGAGCTGGTGAGATTAGAGAGTTTTCTCCAGACTTCGGAAAGTTATAACGCATAACCTCACAAGCACGGGCATCTTCCACACTCACTGCGATTCGTGCTCCGTCCAGCTGACGGTAGAACACGCGCTAACATCATGCCCCCTCTACCATGAAAACAGGCTACTCTATGGCCTGCAAGGTAACGTGTTATGCAACGAACCGGCCAGGGAGGCCAGTGACTCCATAGGCCTGGTTTATCAAAAACTTGTCCTCCAGTATTGGAGATTTCAGCATAAATATTGAGAATTTTTAATCAAGCTTTCCGTGTATTATAGAGTGCAAAGAATATGCTTTCTTTTAAACCAATTCACTTAAAATACATCATACATTATGCTGTCCAGTTGCTATAAGACCAAATCGGACTATATGGGCTTTATTCAAGTAAAATCAGTAAAATCAATAAATGGAAATATTTAATACTTTAACTATTTATGTTTGTAATTCTTCTGCGTGAAGTTAACAATTTTACATAGTTGAAGATGCTATGTTTCAAATAACATACATTTTTTGGTCATTTTACACGATAGATGAGGAGATGAAAGTGTAAAGTTGATAGTTCCGTTAGAGTATGGCAGTGTTAAAATTGTATATTGATAGTAGACCATTGGGGGGGATAACCCTAACCATCCCTCTCCAACTGTGGAGTTTGGTAAAGAGAGATGATCATCCCGATTCCATCCCTTCCTCAAAGTTGTCCTTGCGCACTTTCTACTATCTATGCATATACAATTTCCATACTGCCGTACTCTATCAGAACTATCAACTCTATACTTTCATCTCCCCATCTATCGTATAAAATGACCACTTTAAGTCTGTTATTTGAAACTTAGCATCTTCAAAAATGTTTAATAGTTAGTAACTTTTTCATTTCTATTAATAGCCTGAAAAATGCTGTCTGGCAAACTGTTAACCAAGTTGTGCAGAACAGATTTCTCGATATTTTCCCCAACCTCTGAAATAGCTATCTTGAGCTCATCTACAGTATCTTACCCTCAGCATAAATCCTACGCACGAGGATTCCCCAAAGGTTATCAGCAGGATTCAAGTCCGGAGAGCGAGCTGGCCAGCCCAACAGATCTAGTTTCTGGTCCTTGATCCACTGTTTGGTTTCTTTGCTTGTGTGAATAGCGGTGTTGTCCTGATTGGAAAGTGAACTTTTTGCGACGGTATTTGCGCAAAAAAGGCATAAGAGAACCTTCCAGCCCATAGATGTAGTCCTTAGTATTGATTTTAAACGACGTGAGCTTTCCGGTTGCTCAAAATCCTGTCCACACCATGCATGAATCATCACCAAAGTTCCGAGTGGAGAAATGTGGTTCCTCCTTCCTTAAATCGCGCCAGGATCAATTGAGTCCATCAGGACCATGCAGGTTGAACTTCATTTTATCACTTAAGATCATCTGAAAGTGTTTAAAGTGTGAGAACGTTTTATTTGTTTACAATCGTAACACCTCCTAACATCAGACATAAGAATAACAATCTGATTACAAACATACCGTATCCCATTGCTCGTTCCGGTTGGTTTTCACAAAATTCAATCGTTTTTCAATATGGGAATGTTTTTAGGAGTTTTCATTTTTTTAACCCTTTTAATATGAAGACTTTTATCCAACACTTGACGAACTGTCTCTTGAGAAACGTTCAAATTCAATGTCTGCTTTATTTGCTTTATTTTTTATTAAATGATTAAGAGAAATTCAACGCTATTCTAATTATTTCACGTTCATCTCGACTGGTAAGCTTTGATTTACTTGGATTCCGTTTGACTTTCCCATCTCATTCCAGATTAGCTAAGTAGTTCATGACCACTTAATGGGATCGACCAATACGACGAGCTATTTCTCTGATTTCAACTATATCTTGGTTAAAGCACAGACAAACAGACGTAACTCTTCATTGTGCATCTTCGTTCATGCATTTAACGGTTGATTTGAATATTATCAGTTCCGCGAACTACTCGCCGCAGCGCTGGCATCGGATCACTTTGACGTTTCTATATATGCTATAGAACTTTTATGCAATATTGTTTACGAGTTAGCGAGCAAGCTTGTTTTCCGCGAGAAGCCAGAGAGATGTCGTTACTGAAGTTATATGTTTTAAGATACTATGTTTTCAAGAACAAGTTTTTCTAAGAGTTACGTCTGTTTGTCTGTGGTTAAAGGCTTCGATTTGCTTTTTTCTTTCTCCGTTA